GATAGCCCATTGTGTAGCTTTGTGCTTAATTCCAAACAAACAAACAAATCCATCAAATGAAAGATGTATTTATCTTAGTCTCGAAAAGTAGAGTATTTTATAACAGTTTTATTTTTATCAGACTTCTTTTATAGCGATTTTATTTTTATCAGACTTCTAGTGTTAAAATGAAATAATAATAATAACAACTTGTGTAAAACAACTTTAGTGAACAAGTAAATAGTTATGGTTAAATGCAACTCCATAAAAATCAACATTAAATGCCAAATTAGTTTTGAAGCATAGTTGTTGAGTTTTTAATAAATTCAAATATTAATTACAAAGCTCATTATATTTATCCACTAGAAATTACCACTTTGCTATTCGTATTATTCATAATCTCAGAATTTTGGCCCCAATCTGCAGTCAGTGGATGTAGAGAGATTCAGTTCCTATATATTAAAACGATTTTGGAGCTTCACCATGTCATTGAGGTTCATATCGCTAAGTTCGGTTTTGCTTTGTCTGATGACTATGCATCTTGACAATAGCCCTGCAGCGTAGTCTCCATTACATAAGGATCTATCGTAAGGCTGTCATGCCCACAGAACACCCTCTTTCTTGAAGGTTTTTCGTAAGTCATGTAGTGTACGAAGACGAAAGTTTACTAGCCCCCGTTTCAACATTCATATTGCACAGAAATCCACATACGCTACATCCAACGATATGAGCAGTATGTCTTCGTATAAAATGGCATGAATGTCTAATCTATTCTCCAGCTGCTGGAGGTAAGTGACTGTTGAATGGGCCTCGTTTTCAGACAGAGATCCTTTTTGATTATGTACTATACTGTTATCTGGGGCACACGGATGACTTTTGCCACTGACAGTTATGTTCGTGGGTTCTCACCTGTTACAAGACGTCGCTTATTGCTTATCATGAATGGGATACGACTTGTTTTAGGTCTTTTTCTGAATGGTCTTGGTACCCCAAGATGGTTCATATTATTTTGCATTAAAATTCTAAATCCTCAATATGAACACATCTTTATGATCTGAGAGTATGATTAGTTTGCGTCGGAAAGGGCTGATACATACCTTTCCCAAAAGCGATCAGTTTTCGGTAACAAAACACTACCTACGTAAGCCAAAACAATATCCAAATGTAGTTAAAATGCACGCATTTCCAACGCGGCTTTACATGGGCTGTAGATGTCATGCGACTTGCTGATTTGCATATTCAAAATTATTTTGATATAACCTTCTCAACTCTCAGCATATATAATTTCTAGAATGGATCTTTTTTATGTCTTAAGTTTTACACAAAGTGATTAAAATACCTTATTCGAACAAACACTCATTAAAATTAAACCCTTAATAAGAACCTGTTTGTTTGTTTGTAATTAAGCACAAAGCTACGCAATGGACTATCTATGCTCCGCCCACCACGGGTATCGAAACCCGGATTCTAGCGTTGTAAGTCCGCAGACATACCACTGTGCCACTGGGGGGCTAATAAGAACTAAACACGCAGAATAAAGGAATCAATATTAGCCATTAATGATATCTATGACCTTGTCCGTTCAGGTCAGAGTCGTGTGACTAATTACGACCTTAAGATTTAAATCTACTGGTGTGATTTTGCTTTGGTTTTCGAAGTTATTAAGAAAAACGTGTAAACCTTTCTGGCTGTTCTTAGCCATAATATTGTATTTTCAAACACTAATTAACTTCATTTTTATATCCAGTCTATACTTTATACCTCTTTTATTTCATAATACGAATAAAACCAGTCTATCAAACTAACTATAAAGAAACCTATATATTTCCATAAAAACATTTAGATTAGTTTTTATCTTATCGATGGGATCGTGAGTTATAATTATTACATGCTAGCATACAATTACTATGTAGCACTGTAGTCGAATTACGATTGAATAATACGAATAAAACCAGTCTATCAAACTAACCATAAAGAAACCTATATATTTCCATAAAAACATTTAGATTAGTTTTTATCTTATCGATGGTATCGTGAGTTATAATTATTACATGCTAGCATACAATTATTATGTAGCACTGTAGTCGAATTACGATTGAATATTTCATGATAATTTCATGCATGGGTAAATGGGCATATTTCTAATTTTTAGATAATTTTTTGCAGGTGGGCTGGACGTGACCTAGTATTTCTAGTGCCTTAATAGAGCCCCGAGGGTCAACGGTTCGCGTCCTGATGTCGCAAAAAAAATCGCGCTTCGTGGTGTGTTATAAGAATGATAGTCAAATCCATTATTCAATTAGAGTAGCCGAAGAGTTTAATATTTCAGTTCAAAATTAGAGACGGCTTGCGCAAATTGCCTTTGTGTAGCTTTGTATAACGATAATATTTATTATTAGTTTGTTTCTGTTTTTATTATTATTGAGTATGCAAGGGAGTAAAAGATAACCACTACAAACTGGGAAAAAAAATCATATTATCTGCACAAACTTAAATCTTAGAGGAGTCAACTTTTTAATTTGTTCAGAAATATACAATAAAACTTAAATCCCAGATAAGCACTTACATTTATATACAATAAAACTTAAATCCCAGATAACCACTTACATTTATACACAATAAAACTTAAATCCCAGATAAGCACTTACATTTATACACAATAAAACTTAAATCCCAGATAAGCACTTACATTTATACACAATAAAACTTAAATCCCAGATAAGCACTTACATTTATACACAATAAAACTTAAATCCCAGATAAGCACTAACATTTATACACAATAAAACTTAAATCCCAGATAAGCACTTACATTTATAGCAGTTTATGATTATTAGTGCATTGCTTGCTTCCAAATTAGCATTTTATGTTCGAATGAACTTAGATGGAAATAGAGGGAGTTTTGATCAGTTTTGTTTATTTGTTGTTAAGCACAAAGCTACACAATGAGCTACCTTTGCACTGTCCACCGTAGGTATCGAAAATACCTAATTTTTAGCGTATAAGCACTCAGATTTAACGCTGAGCCACCGGTGTGTGTGTGTGTGTGTGTTTTGAACAGGTATTGTGTTATATCCAAATGTTTGACTTGCTCCAGCATATGCTGTTCACAATGCATTATGCTGAAGATTTCCATTAAATTCTTAGTTTTAATAACTTTCAGAAGAAAGAAAAAATGCTTCAGGAGAGTAAAAAAATAGTTATTTTAGCCTAATGTCAAACCTTTGTTAGTTAAAGAGGAAAAGAAGATATTCTTGCTAGAGTTACGACCTAGGACAGTTTATTGAGTATTTTAGCAGCCCATAATGATATCTGATAAATAACCAGAAAAGTACTGTCTACTACGCTAAACTTGAGCTCCGGAAGCTAATGAAACGCGAAACAAGCCAGGTCGCGAAGCTTACTGTAATCATCCGTTAGCTGCTGATAAATAATGTATTGTCTTCATCGACTATTAGTGTGCAAATTATGTAGTGAAACACTAAGGTAATTAACATTATGCGACTTTTAGACACATAGATAAATAAATCAGTATATTTTTTTACCTTGTACATAGGCACATCTTTATTTTAAAAAATGTAAAGTTATTCTTTCGTTTGCACGTGAGTTCTATTTTATCTTTGCACAAAAGTTACATGTTTTATTTATTTGTTGACTACTCTATCTGCAGTAATATAACTACCCGCACGTCCCGCGACTTGCTTGGTATCGTCGGAAGGTGTTTTTTGTTAAAGAGCATATGATTGTTCAAGATATGACGATACATGCATATCTAAATTATAAAAGTTGTAATATTCCCCATGTAATTTAACATGGTATAAAAATTAATCTCAAAGATTCAACAGGAAACAATATTTACGTCTATTCTTCAATTCTTAAGTTTATTTTTTTATACCAAATACGTTTTGGATAGTAAAAATAGCTAGAAATAAAATTAGAACAACTTAAACATCCAGCAAGTACGTCATTTCCGCAACTTATAAAGAATTATGTCATTAAAAATATATTATTTACTATAAACACTTTCATACACGTGAGAAATGACAATACCGTTCCTGTAAAAGGCAAGTATGAGTTCAAAATAGTTATCCCTGTTTTAAGTGTTTTAATATTAAATTGCTTATTTAAATCTTGATGAAAATCTAAATCTATCTCCTCAAGAAACAAAAAACAACAACAATATGTAAATGAATGTTGTGTAGTCTTGTAAGGAACAGTTTTTTAATAACTCTTAAACCTGGCACATCTATTTAAAGTTTGTTACTATAAACAATTAGATTAGATATTTTACTTTATTTCTCTGTATCTCTCATTGTTGAACTTATGACTTACTCTTATACTTCCATTTCTGCCAGTAGGTGCAGCACGTACTCCTCTGCCTTTCTGCTACTTCTACATAACAGTACAATGTCTTTAGGAAGTGAACTACGTCACTGCATAAAGACTTTCTTGGTTATCGGCTTCTTTGGCGTTGCTGTTTTTTCAGGTAACCTTGTCTCCAGAGCCATCTATATCATATGTGTTTTATTATGTTATAAATAATCAATTTATTTTTTTTCAAAGTACAGACGATAATAATGTTATGAAAGCTACAATCACACCCGAAAAACTGTTTTCAAAACATCTGGCCACTCGACCATGTTTTAAGCGTACACTTATGTTCTGAGACGTCATTTAGACGTCTCAATGTTCAGCCCATAAGAAAACAAGTTGTAAACGTCAACTGCCTTACCTTTGCAAACATCTGTTAAATAAAATTGCATTCTCCCGGAGGTTACTAGATTTTTTTATATAGACAAGCATCAAAATTCTCCTTCTCAGAATCAGCCTCATAGTAAGCAAATGCTTTACAAATTGAGTCAGTAAAGGCTTAACTAATACGAGCAGTTGTGAAACCAGTGGGCCTATTAATTCACGGATAACTCAAAGGCAGAATAAAAGTTGTAGAAATGATTAAAGCCTAACATATGAATATTTGGTTGGTTTATTGTTACTATAAAAATATTTAGTGTTTTTGTTCGCAAGTGAAAGAAAAGCAGAATTAGTAGCAGGAATTTCTGATTTCTGCTCACGAATGTAGAGCAGTTCTTTTAAACCAAGATTTAGCTCAACTTGTCTTGGTAATATTGTGGATTGTAGTGTCGTCAAGAAAGGTTCATGTTAATAGATAGTCCTTACTGAAGGACTAGGCCGGTGCTATACTTAAGGCTTGGGACTATCATATTTATCTATCCTAGATTTGTAATATTTTGAGGTAACTTTTAATTGCACTATTCTCCAATGTCAGCGGAAAACTATTTAGGAAAAATCTTTTCAGTAATATTGTATTCTGTGCTTGCAATATTTTAGTAGTTTTCCATTATGAAATTGAAAATAATGTAATTTCATTGCAGAATGGTTTCCACTGATTTCACGCAACCCCATAAGTGTTTGAAAATCTCGAAAAAAAAAAAAAGATTAAAATCCACATAGCACTCGATGGTCAATATTTAAGAGATAATTCTCTTCGTTGAACTGTTTCTATAAATGTCTTGAAAACCATTAGAAGTATACAAACTGTTCTAATCTGAATACATTTTTGTAGTGTGGGGAAAAAAATCATTAAAGCTGTTGCTTCATAATCGCTGTTGTTCGTGAGTAAATTTCTATAAAACACGCAGATTTAAAATGATTTTATTTATTGAACCATAGAATTGATTTATCATCAGAAGGAGATTAGGCCTTCCCTTATGATCAATATTTAGGTTATGCAGAATATTACAGAACAGAAACACAAACATTCTAGATCCCACGATAAACCAGGAACCGATTAAACAATAGTCGGTTGTTATTACTCTGAAACGGAAAGAGCCCTTATAATAAAATTATCTTTGTTTTCTTTTTTTTTTCGGTAGTGGTCAGCATGTCCTAACTGTGAACCCGAAGGTTCACGGTTCGCAACCCGTTGCTACTAAAGTTTGCTCCACTCTTTGAAGCCTTTGGTGCGTCATAAGAGTAACGGTTTGTTTGTTTTTTGAATTTCGCGCAAAGCTATACGAGGGCTATCTGCGCTAGCCGTACCTAATTTAGCAGCGAAAGACTAGATGAAAGTCAACTATACATCACCACCCACAGCCAACTCTTGGGTTACTCTTTTATCAACGAATAGTGGGATTGATTGTAACGTTATAACGCCCCCACGGCTGAAAGGGGCGAGCGTGTTTGGTGGGACGGGAATTCAAACCCGCGACTCTCAGACTATGAGCCAAATGCCTTAACCACCTGGCCAAGAGTAACAACCAAATCTCACCTTTCGCTCAAACAAGAGTATTCCAAGTGTTAGCAGTGAGTACCTTTGACTAGTTGCCCTCTCATTAGTCTATCAGCTAAAAAGTAAAGATGACTGCGCAGACAGCCCTTGTTTAGCTTTGCGCTAAAATTCTAAAACCAACCAAATAAATAACTTGATAGAGAAAATGGACTTGAATTCATTAGGTTTCGTATCTAAACCATATACCAAATAGTGTTTAAACGTCTGTCATACAAACATACTTCCTAAGAGAAGCACGTCATTGTGATGTTTGTTTTCCATAAGGAAAACAATGTCGACAAATGTGGTTATACGCTTTCTTGAATAATTTGAAAGAGCCTCCAATAATTATGAAAACAACATATAAAGTTTCTCAATCAAGAACAACTGTCAAATGTGTGTTCATAGCATATATATTGTTATTTTGTCCAATAGAAAGCTATATGTGACTGTAGCTTTCATACCGTTACTTTCTTTCTAAGTGAGCGATAATTGTGACCGTGGCATCTATAGTGTTATGTATCGTTACAGAGCAGATTACGCCTGTAACGTTTAAGTTGCTACTTAATGTTGTTAATCTTGTTGCTCGTTTACTACGTTAGCGATAGTTGTGAGTTAACATTGTTGTTCTATCATAAAGTTAGCGATAGTTGTGAGTTAACATCGTTATTCTATCACAAAGTTAACGATAGTTGTGAGTTAACATCGTTATTCTATCACAAAGTTAACGATAGTTGTGAGTTAATATCGTTAACATTGTTATTCTATCATAAAGTCAGCGATAGTTGTGAGTTAACATCGTTATTCTATCACAAAGTTAGTGATAGTTGTGAGTTAATATCGTTAACATTGTTATCTATCATAAAGTTAGAGATAGTTGTGAGTTAATATTGTTGTTCTCTCACAAAGTTAACGATAGTTGTGAGTTAACATCGTTATTCTATCACAAAGTTAGCGATAGTTGTGAATTAACATTGTTATTCTATTACAAAGTTAGCGATAGTTGTGAGTTAACATCGTTATTCGATCACAAAGTTAGCGATAGTTGTGAGTTAATATCGTTAACATTGTTATTCTATCATAAAGTTAGAGATAGTTGTGAGTTAATATTGTTGTTCTCTCACAAAGTTAGCGATAGCTGTGAGTTAACATCGTTATTCTATCACAAAGTTAGTGATAGTTGTGAGTTAATATTGTTATTCTATCATAAAATTAGCGATAGTTGTGAGTTAACATCGTTATTCTATCACAAAGTTAGCGACAGTTGTGAGTTAATATCGTTAACATTGTTATTCTATCATAAAGTTAGCGATAGTTGTGAGAAAATGTTCTTAACATTGTTATTCTATCATAAAATTAGCGATAGTTGTGAGTTAATATTGTTAACATTGTTATTCTGCAATAAAGTTAGCGATAGTTGTGAATTAACATTGTTATTCTATTACAAAGTTAGCGATAGTTGTGAATTAATATTGTTATTCTATTACAAAGTTAGCGATAGTTGTGAATTAATATTGTTATTCTATTACAAAGTTACCGATAATTGTGAGTTAACATTGTTATTCTATTACAAAGTTAGCGATAGTTGTGACTTTATATTGTTGTTCTCTCTCTAACTAATCGATTAATATATGTCACTGTATACTATTACTCCATTACCAAGTTATTGGTAGCTGTAAGTCTGTATTGTTACTTAATCATTAAGTTTTAAATCGATAGCTGTGACTCTATTGTTACTCCGTTACTAATTTATCGATAGCTATAAATGTATTATCTATCTTTCAAGCTAACTTTAAAAGCTATTGATAACTGTGGCTGTAAGATTTATACTGTTACTCACTCACCAAGAGTTATGTGACTGTAGGTGTAGTATATTGATCTGTTTTTTTTTGTTACAGTGTACTCAATGTTTGTGGTTATGTCATATGTCTTTTTTTATTTTTTCAAGTACCATAAGTACCAATTTCATTAAGCAATTTTGTATGTACATGCCTGAAAGTGTGTTCCAATGTTAAAATTTAGAATATTATCGTGTTGAACAGGAGTTCAAGAAACTGAACAGGTAAAGTGTAACTTCTCTGATAGACTCTACAGCATTGGGGATAGCTGGTATCATTTTGTGGATAACTCCAAAACACCTCTCTGTCTCACCTGCCACTGCCAAGAGGTAAGACTTACGACCGAACATTTCTGTTTCTATAATACTCTGATGCTTTATTATTGAATATCTTTATTTCTTTCAACAGATGACGCATGGTATATATAATTATCAGTGTATCAGATAGTGATGTTTCAAGTCCTTTTATCGTGTTACTTATAATTGTTAATAACTAACTAGCAGTGTAGCAGCATTTACTATTACTTTATCATCCTTTCATTGTCAAAAACCACTTTTATCTTAGCTGTCTGTAATCCAACATATAGGTTTAAGAAAAGCTGTATGAGAACATTTAACTTAAAATATAATATATACTACCAACATATGATATGTTTATAATAAACTATTTACTATAATATATATATATTGTTACCTCACATAGCTTTACAATTAATTCAGTTTCCTAGCTATTTCAACTCATGAAATACCATATTTAACTGCCAAGGTAACAGTTGGTATTGGAAGTTGACATAGTTTTATCATCCTTTCAGTTTTTAAGATATTTCAGCTAGCATATCTCGTTATCAGGGTAACAGTAGGTTTTGTTACTTGGCATAGTTTCTTCATCCTTTCAGTCTTTAGGATGTTTCAACTGATATATCTTTATAAGGGTAGCAGTGTGTTGTTGACTGTATGAGAACACATATTTTCCTCACATGTGCTTGTAGTGCAGTTGACCCTGCCTTTCTGTAATGTCAGAGAAGAATCAAAGTTGTCAGATCCCAATTAACGCTGGTAAATAGTTCGTATCACTGCCCAATTTACAAAGTGTTTAAAGAAACCGAGAAAGCGTAAAAATGCACACTAATATCATGTATGGATACTTAGTAGACCTTCCACTATACAAGTCTATAAAATTATTATTTTCTCATGAATTATTACTTTGTAATTAGTTAAATATATTGCCGTAAATACATAAAAAACGCGGAAGAAGAATTATAAAGCTAAGTCAAGTAACGATGCAAGGAAAGCTGCTGTAACAAGTGTATAAGTAAGTAACGCATCTTTTAAAAAATATCGAACTTTTAATTTCTGATTTTTAGTTAAGTATGTGGATAAATAAAACCTGTGCATTTAGAAAAAACTGTAACCCAGCAAGCAAGTTCTGACTGTTACCAAACATAGGTACTCAAATAATAATAATAATCGTACTTTTAGAAAATATTACTACTCCAAAACTAAATTGTACTTATAACCAGCTGTAAGATGAGGATAACTAAGAACTCTTCTGTATGATAACCGAATTTTGAGACAAAACAGGAGGTGTGGAAAAGCCAACTACGTTATTAGTAAAAAACTATAATTTGTTAACTTAATCGTGTTCTTACTTACTACAGGATGTGAATCGGTAAGATTGGTACTTTAAAAAAAAATTACCTGACATCTAGATTTAGAGTATTACTAAACACAGAATGAGGATAAGTAGAAACAGTTTTTCAAAAAAGTTTGATACCTGTTACTGTTATCAACTATACGAATAACAAACGAATAAAAACCCTATAATCCGAGCGCTTTCGAAAGGTTTCTTTGCAAAGTTTGCCGCTGAAGAAGAAAGTTCCACCTTTCGAAAGTGCTCGGGTTATAGGGTTTTTTATTAATTTCTATCAAGACTTCTTGAACCTACGTGTTTTTCTAACATCATAACTTTATGAGTTGGTTATTAAATAAATGTAATTTTAGAAAATGGCATTTCCCGATAGTTAAGTTCGGGTTGTTATCAACTCCAGATTGGAGGATAAATAAGACTATTATTTTAACAATAAAAAACTGTTGCCCTATTGCCAGTTAACTTAAGAATTGTGCCGTTGGAAATAACTGTTACGTTATCTGACAGCTATTACTGATTATTACTAAACCTAGGATGTAGATAACTAAAATATACTTTTAGAAAAGAATGTTATCTGAGAATCTTACTTAGGATTGTTATATCAACTCTAGAAGGTTGATAAAAAACTCTACTTTTACAAAAGACTGTTACCTGACAAATAATTTTGGCCATTTTTGAACAAATGGACGTGAATAATTAAGAAACGTACATTAATAAGAAGTTGTTGCTTCAGAATTAAGTTCTTACTGTTACCAACTATAAGACGTTTTGATGAAAGAGTTAGCACAAAGGATCACATATAAAGTGTAATAGACTTAAAATAAGACCCAAAACTCGAGCGCTTTCGAATACTTGACTATTCTTCTTCACCCTTTGTTCTCCTATAAAACGTTGATGCGTATAACTCTTCTTTTCCAAACAAACTTTTTATCTAAAACCAATTTATTGACTCTAACCAACTGAAATAAGTAAATTGAGTTCTGTTACCAACTACAGAGAATTAAGTACATTATATTAAAACGATTTGGAATATGCAAATCAAAAAGTTACCTGGCTAATACAGCTTATATAAAGTCATGGTGAAACGGCATCTTTCAAAAATAACTATTTAGACTATGTTTGGCGTTGCGTAGGTAGTGTGGTAACAGCCACTTCCGGTACAATATTCATACCCTCGGATCAAAACGATGTACTGAGATCCGAAATTTAGAATTCCAAGACTGGATTAACTTTGTATTTAATAGCATTAGAAAACAAAGGAATATGGACAAACTTGAGGCATCAGGACTATCCAGAAAAAAAGACCTGCAACGAGTCTTACATCAGCCGGCATAAGCAAAGTGCAGCGTCTTTGAACAGGTGAGGATCTAGAACACAAAGGTATGTGACAAAAGCCATCCACGTTCTCTTGGCAACAGTATCCGACATAATGAAGAAGGATCTCCATCTGGAAAAGACACAAGGCACGTGGACACAAGTTGCTTCCACGACATATCCGTTCAACCGTCGCATAGCTAAAGCAGCTGGAGAATGAAATGAGTATTCATGCTATTCCACACGAAGAAATACTAGTCAAGTTTGTGGATTTGTGTGCTATTCCACACGAAGAAATACTAGTCAAGTTTGTGGATTTGTGTGCTATTCCACACGAAGAAATACTAGTCAAGTTTGTGGATTTGTGTGCTATTCCACACGAAGAAATACTAGTCAAGTTTGTGGATTTGTGTGCTATTCCACACGAAAAAATACAAGTCAAGTTTGTGGATTTGTGGGCGATCTGACTTTTGAAACGGGCGCTGGGAACCTTTTTTTACGTACACTAGGCGAATTACAGAAAACCAGCATGAAGAAGTGGTGTTCTTTGAACATGACAGCCTTTTGCAATGAAAATGAAGATGCCTGGCTATTTTCAAGACGCGTGATCATCAGATAGAACGTGATCGGTCGTGGCGACGTGGTCTTAATAACGTGGTGAGGCTTCAAAATAATATTAATATAACGTACCCAACTCCAGTATACGATTTAAATACGTTTCGAAACAAATGTTTTACTTTAAAAACTATGTATAGTATGTGACTAACAGCAGAAAGTACGTTTTTCTCGAGCAATATCATTATGTTTCTTATAATCTGTAGGGACTCAATGTCATTATGTTTCTTATGACCTGTAGGGACTCAATATCATTATGTTTCTTATAACCTGTAGGGACTCAGTATCATTATGTTTCTTATAATCTGTAGGGACTCAATATCATTATGTTTCTTATGACCTGTAGGGACTCAATATCATTATGTTTCTTATGATCTGTAGGGACTCAATATCATTATGTTTCTTATGACCTGTAGGGACTCAATATCATTATATTTCTTATGACCCGTATGGACTCAATATCATTATGTTTCTTATGACCTGTAGGGACTCAATATCATTATATTTCTTATGACCTGTAGAGAATCAATATCATTATGTTTTTTGTGATCTGTAGAGAATCAATATCATTATGTTTCTTATGATCTGTAGGGACTCCAAGCTAATTTTGCAACTGATAAATACTACATTTAATTTACTTTTAAAGTCAACACTATTTTCTTACAACCAACGGCTAGAAAGGTACATTAGATAAGTAAATTACAGCACGTTGTATTGTCACGGCTGGACGACAGACTTTCAATGTGACTGTTGCATGCGTTCGATATTAAAGCCACGGGCGCAAAGCTGAGAAACAGTATTGCTCACTTGGTGCATTAAGGGATATGATTTAAAGTGATCCTTTGCAGTTTTAACCGTTTTTAGGGTTTGTGTTCGTTCCGTAGGTAAGTAAGCGTCAAGTATTGGATAACCATATCAGCAGGCTTGCGCTCGTGACTTTAATATAGTTTGGGTAACTTTTTTGCATCATCCTGTTTAAATAAGTAACAATTATATGTTAAAGTTGGTTAAATGTAAAAGTAGTCTGACACAAAATGTATAATAATCCTGATACTTTAATGGAAAACGTTGACACAGTTTTTAAATTCAGTTTGATAATCACTTCTCTCATCTTTACATCTCATACCGCTATACACGTCTTGAATTCCATTGTGCTACCAAAAAGTCTGAGTATATTATTAGTTAATTTCATTGTAGCGCTTTTTCACTGGAAATTCAGCCCATCTACTCAAAAGTATATCAGAGTAAGCTTCACGATCTCTTGCATTTGATATGTTTTTTATTATTCAGTTGTCTCAGATACGCTAAACCTTCCTCTTCATTATCAAGTTTATCTATTTTCGTAATTTCATCTATTATTTTCATAACATTGAAATCTGTTATTTTCAATGTAAAATAGATTAAACACTAACATATCTTAGATAGCGCATAGTTTATAAACAAACCACTTTTGTGGTAGCAAGTGTGGTGAAACATCACACTAGGAGTGAAAACTATTTTGGTTCGTTAAACGTTTAAAATATTTCAAGTCTTACTAATACTTGTTACTCTCAAATAGATAATATTTGTCGACTTCGGTGATATGCATAATTTAACCTTATCGTTGACCTAAAGACGGTTTCATTGTTAAAGTAATTATGTAAATAAAAATTCACATTTAATATGTAGTTGTAAAATAATGTTTAATTTCTTGATTTTAAATATTTTCACTCTCACTACTGTTTGAACAACATTGCGTAACTCCTTACTTAAATAGTTTTACATTTAAAATCTAGTTCTCTTTCACGAAAACTAAGTCCGTTTGACCTTTGACATTGATTTCTAACTGCTTGATTCGCTAGTCACAGCAATTTTTGGCTAACCCTTTGAGCCCAAGTAACCCACTGGGACCAAGAGGTCGTTTCAATAATAATTTTTATATAACGATATTTAATAATTATTTCATAATTTCAGCACCTTTTCATAACGATTCTTAATGAATAATATTTCATAATAAGAATAAATAATTTGCCACAAATAATATCAACATCCATACAGCCTCGCTCCCAGGACGCAACAGACAAATCTCCTGACCTCTGGCGGTAGAACAAGCGTCATTTCACATATGGTATTTGAATAGTTAAACTGTAATGTCATAACCAGGTGTTTGTTCAAAAGTGCTTGACTGGTAGAAGATAGGAGAAAACACTTGAGATTAGATGGCCGAGCACTTGGTTGACATGTAGGGGGAATTTGGCTCGATCCTAATTTATATGAAAAGATAGGTCACCATTTATCGTCCATATTAAAATATATGCCATTTGTATACAATATACTATTCGTGTATCTTACTGTTCCTTTCTCAGATTAAATAAATCGACTTGTTATGTATTTGGAAGAGACTCACCTACGTAAGAGAAACACTCCCAGTAAGTGAACATTAGATTAGAGCGGCAGTGGAATCCGTGCTTTGACTTGCCATCATGAAGCTCTAAGCTACCAAGTTGAAATAGCGGAAGCTCCAATCTTTGCTTTTAATTGTTTGTTGTGACAAAAGCTCGCAGGATTCTAAAACTATGTTAATAATCTTTAATTTTTGAAATCCATGTATTGCCAATTTTGCTGGAATGAACAGGTAATTCTTCAATTGTATATATAATGTTGTAATTGGCAGATTGTTCTGGCAAACAATGACAATGATTCAGTTCTATTCGGCATCTATTTTTTAGTTGTTTTTTTTTAAGTTTACAGCTGTA